GTAAAAGTGAGGAACAAAAATTTCTCGTTAAATATATATATGAACGATTGAAGTTAGGAATTATTTTTCCCTTGTAGAGGACTTCTTAAGCTTAATTTAGAGACTTGAATCACCATAATATGATTTTTATAGAATTAGTTATGAATTTTGTAAGTTGATGATGAATTCTGGAAAAAAATGCATATGTCCTTAAAAATCATATTGACATTTTTCTCTTCTTGATGATCATTAAGGCTGAAGCAATGATCCTTATAAATACTTGTTATTTAAAGGAGTAAAAATATATGAGTTGTTACATATATGTGCTATTATAGTTCCCATGACAGCGAATTATTTTTTATAACCCTCACATGTCGAGCGCGAATCCTCAAAAGTCCAAATTAAATTCTCTTTTTTTTTTTTAAAGTTAAATGAGAAGCAAGTTAAAAAAAAACAAAAAAGGAAGGGACAAACTAGATTCGATCAAGTAACATATCTGACAAAGAATAAGAAACTCATTTACCATTAAGCTACATGATTATAATTGAATGATTTTGGATAACGTTGTTATAAATATTATTATTATTTTCCATATTTGAAAATCTAACATTCACTTTCACTTTAGAATTTCGTTTCCCTCTCCTCCGTCGCTCCTCACTCGCTCCTCCCGCCAATCTCTTCCAGCTTGTCTTTTCCTCTTCATCTCTCATCACCCTCTTCCACCACTGTAGCTCCTCCAATTTTTGCTACCTTCAATGTTCTCACTTCAGTTTATAGGGAAATTTATCTTTCGAGCGTTGTCTTCAATATGTCAGGCAGTGTTTTTCCCTAATCCATTTTGAATATTTAAATCAATATATTTTTACACACGTTTTCTTCGTCTAAACTATCCTGTATGTGTTTGTGTATGCGGGAATGAAAGAGAGACTTAAAGACTTAGAACTAGAGGGTGGAGAGAAGATCGAGGTTTTAAATTTGTTAGATTTTGATAATAAATTGATGTACGTGAACGTTCTTTTGTCCTCTTTCTCTTCCATGTCAATGAATTAGCCCCACCAACTTTGTTTTTCTCTCATTTCCACATGCGTGTTTTCCATGTTTTGTATATGGTATTTATATTCCTTTCTAGAAGAGAGATGAGTAGTGGACCTATCTCAAGCTTGCTTTGATGATATTATCTCATAGGGTATCCGTACATTTAAGGAATTTTTTAAATCTATTTGCTTTACTGCCTCCACCCGCTTACCTAACTCTATAGCATTCAAACCTTCAGGGATTCAACCTTCAGGGGTCTCGTAACTATTAAGACTCCATTTTTATTTTTATTTTTTATTTTTTTATTAATATAATATTCTTTATTTAAAACAAAAGGAAGAATAGAGATAGAAAAGATATAATAAACCTAGGAATTTGTGCATCTATCACGTGATCCTGAAGGCTTTTTTTGGAATTTTATTAAAGGAAATACTCTCAAAATAAATATTAAGATAATTTTTTCTTAAAACATTCTAAAAAAAATTTTCCTCATATATATATCACAGAGAAGTTTCTCTCAAATAAAATTGAGAGAAGCTCTCTCAAATTTTTTTAAAAGAATTATTTTCTTTCAAAAAATTAAAAAAAACTGATTTCTCTTAAGATATTATGAGAAAAAATAATTTGTCCTACAAAATTTTACTCCTTTTATTTGAGAGAAATTTCAAAAGAAATTATTTTTCTCTTAGATATTGTAACCCTCCCCTTATATCTACATGATATAAGGAGAGAATTAGTATAATCACCACATGTTTAAATCAAATTGTATTTAAATACTTTACTTGAAAAGCTTGGCCCGTGATTTATTTTGAAAATCATGAAAATTTTTCACTAACTCAATACAAAATAGAGCACAGCATAGTGGAAGGTAAACTATGCATTTATTGGAGTCTATGCATGCTTTCAAAATAAAATAATAAAGTTAAAAATTAAGCCATGTGCTACGACGTGTACCACATGCACTGTGGCATGTTGCACATAGTCATGAGTAGCTCCCTTCTGTGCCATGGACTACAACATAAGCACGTCGTGTGCTATGGCGTACATGATAGTTTCTACATTTATTATACGACAGTTCGCAGGACAAATTTTCCACATGCGCTATTTCCACATACGTCATCCGATTGGAGTGGTTTAAGCGTTCACATGAAGCTTATTCTATAAGCTAACTAATGAGAAAAGTTTGGACACAATGTAATGGTCCAATCAAAATTTAGATACTCAAGTATAAAAAATTATTTTTTCTAAAATTTAGCGTGCCCAAACGCTCAAATCAATCATATTATCTTATTAGACCATTTTAGACTTTTACCAAGTTCAAAAGGATATAATACACTTGATTGACCATATTTTATATCATATATACATGCAAGTCAAGATTTGGCTGCTCAATAGTCTATTTTCAAAAATATAAAATTTTCACAACTTAACATAAAAACATTTCTCTAGCCATTTTCACCACAATATCATAATAGATTCACTTCATATTCACTACTAGCATATTTACAATATATTTATAACTAAATCTTAGCCCCAAATGCTCATTTCACCATATATTTACACCTAAGGGGTAAGATTTAAAAAAATTACTATATATCTCATCAAATAACAACTCAACACTTAACTCTTCTTGCTATGTGCTTCTTCTTGCATCGGAATATTTAAAGCTTAACTCGCTCTTCATGCTTTCTACCTCTCAAGATCATATCATGATCCCAAATCATCTTCCTTATATCTACTATCATATTTCTAAGCTCTTCCAACAACTCATCATGCCTATCTCTCCACTGTAGCTAAACCGGTTGAACTTCTAATGCTTGCTCTTCCTTATTTACCCATCTAGAAATAACACTTATAGCATGAGCACCTTTCCTCATGATATAATACTTTTTTCCCCTCCTAAAGATGAAAAAGAAGGAAAAGTGAGCATAAGGAAAAGAGTTGTGTAATGAACAAGAATAAGTTGCCACATCTAAAAATGAATGTAATAGATAACCAAATTGATCAGGTCTCAAAACTCAAAAAAACTAATGCCAAACTGTAACCCTCCCCTTATACTTACATGATATAAGGAGAGAATTGGCAAAGTCACCGCATGCTCAAACCAAATTGTATTCAAATACTTTACTTGAAAAGCTTGGCCTATAATTATTTTGAAAATCATCAAAATTCTCTACTAGCTCAATACAAAATGGAGCATAGCACAGTGGAAGGTAACCTATGCATTCATTAGAGTCTATGCATGCTTTTAAAATAAAATAATAAGGTCAAAGCCATGCACCGTGTTGTGCACCACATGCATCGCGGCATGTGACATAGAGCCATGAGCAGCTCTCCTTTGTGTCATGCGTCATGATGTAAGCATGTCATGCGTCGGCGCACGTGATAGTTTCTACAACTGTCATGCAAACTATCATATGGCACAAGGGAGCTACTTGTGGTCATGAAAACTATCATATGACAGTTTTTGCAACTATCATGGCACGTAACACAGTAAGAAAAATCATCACCATGCTCACATGCTTCACTTTGAGTCACGGTTCTTGCACCCGTATTTATTCATTCAACATTTAATTGAGTCAAATCACCAAGTAATCATCCAAATTTTTAATCATTTACTAATTACTATTTCATTCCTGATTAGCAACTAATTACCTGATTAGAAAAATCAAGATGTTATAGATATCTTCTGTTTTCTCTTGAAATATGTTTGAGAGAAAAGTGTTGTTTTATTATAGTGGGATCTCTAGCTTCCCCTATGCTTATTTCAAGTTATCTTCCAAGCTAACTCAAGCTACCATGAATCTTCTTCCTCCTCCTTTTACCATAGAAGCCACGGCCATGATTGAAAAAAGGAATGAAATGAATAACTGATGGTGAGGCGGCGTGGAGGATATGTGGTGATGTTGGTGTGATTATTGATGGAGAAGGGGGGAACATGACGTGATGATGGTTTAAAGTGTGGGTCCGTGAAATAAAATGGAGAATAGAGATGTGTGTGTGTTTGGCCGTGATTGAGAGAATAAGAAGCGATTAAAAAAGAAAAATGGAGAAATGAATGGGACGCCGAAAATGAATGGAGAAGAGAAGGAAATGTGACGATGCTGTGGATGAATTGGGGAAAGAGACGCCGAAGAAGCTTCAGCCACATGAATAAAAACAGAAGGAAAAGAAAAACAGGGGTGGCAAAATCAACTTCAAAAATATTTTTCCTTGCTTTAATTTACCCATAGTATTTTTAATAAACTTTAAAAATGTCTTCTAAAACCTTAACCATTTGATGGTTTTGGAGCTCAAAAATTGATATCCACCATTGAGCATTTGCATATCCTAGAAAATCAAAATGAGCATATTCATTTAGAATATGTCTAAAATAAATCCTATGTCTCATAAAATAATTAAAAATTATTTTCTCAAAAATTGCAATTTTCTCACAAAATGATCAAACATTCAAATAATTTATAATATTTTTAAATTAAGCTCAATCAAAGGTTGACAAAATTAAATCATGTTAAAAATAGAAAAATAAACTATTAACAATTAATTTATTCTTTAAAATTGGACAATAATCCAAATAATATCTAATAAATATAAATTAGTTCAAAATTATCATTAAAATGTATGAAAAATGTGGATAAAATATATAAAAATTATGATTTATTAACATTCTTTTGTTTATGTGTATACATTTTGGGTTGTTGCTGTTGAAGCAAGTTTTGTTCTAGTTTCATAAAGATGATATTTCGGTTCGGCTTCAATTTGATTTCATTGTTTACTTCAATTCGATTCAGTTAATATTAGTGTAGTTTGGTCTGTCAATTTCCTCAAATGAAAACTGAATTGAACTGAAAATATGATGTCCGCTCACTCCTAAAGGTGGACCTTAATCCAACAAAAGCACTAATAACAAAAAGTACATATTTTGTGGGTAAACATTTTGAAGACAATACTAATTTTTCAAATATTAAAATACACTATTTGCATCGTATATAAAATTATATTCCATTATTTTCTTAAAATATTGATACAGCATGGATAGTCCCTACGTCGTACTACTCTTATCACTTTATTCAAGAGTAGGTAATCAGTCCCATTCTCAAATCCCAAATTAGTACAGTACTCTTGTTCACAAAAACATGATAATGACTATTTTATTTTATTTTTTTACCTTCAAATGATAATGAGTATTAACTATTGATTCTTCTTTTATCCACCAAATTCATATTATATTATTATGACAACATCATTCTTCATTCAAACATTAATGAAACTAGAAATTACTTCAATATTTCTACCCTTGAAGAATTTCAATTCCTCAAATGCCCAATTCCTTGTGTCTTCCACTTCTTTCCCTAACCCTTGCTCTGCCTTCTCAACTCTCTGCAGCAACCCTTGCATCATCCCCACATAAAAGCCATATTTCCTCAGTTTCTCTATCTCCTCCTCACTTCCACCTCCCAACATTGCCCCACACGCAGCTCCGCACGCGTGCATTCCACCTTCGCCCTTTTCTACCTCTCGCTCCATGCTTGCTCCACCATCCAACTGAGTAGGGGTGAGCAAAACCGAACCGAAACCGAAAATCGAACCGAATCGAATCGAATTTTGTCTATTTGATTCGGTCTATTTGATTTTTCGGTTCGATTCGGTTTTTTTATTTTAAATATTTCGGTTGATCGGTTCGATTCGGTTAGTAAAATTTAAAATCGAATAGACCGAATCGACCGAATTATATATAATTTATTAATTTATAAATTATATTTAATTTATAAATTATTTTATTTTTATTTTTATTTTTTATTTTAATAAAGAATAAAAAATAATAACATCACTTGAAACCCCATTTCAATCAATCACTCTCATCAGTAGGTATTGTGACTGAATTATGAGGCTATTATTTAATCATCGGTGTTTATTTATGGTTGTTTATTTGATTATTCATGTCTTTATAATATTTGGGCTTTATGTCATATGAGTATAATTAGAATGGGCTCATATTGAAAAAAACGAAAAGAAAAAAAGGCCCAATTTTATAGTGTTGTTTGTTTTAATATTTAAAAATTAGGCCTAAACCGAAAAACCGAATTAACCGACCGAACTGAATTATCAAATTTCGGTTCGGTCCTTGTTCGGTTCGATTGGCTTGTTCGGTTCGATTCGGTTTTCATTTTTAGTGTTATTCGATCGATCGGTTCTGCATATTTTGAGACCGAACCGAACCGAACCGACCGATTCTCACCCCTACAACTGAGTCCTCACGAATTTACGATATTGCCCCTCCACCAAGCCCTCCGATCCCACCGCACGTGAGATCTCCACCATGACACGCAGGATCTCATCTGAATTGTCTAGGGTCGGGTCGTTGGATCTCGCCAATAGTTCAAACCCGAATGGTATGATTCCATCTCCGGCAAGAAGCTCCATGTTCGGATCGTACACATGGTCCCATTTGGGCTTGGGCCTGGGCCTATCTGTTAATGGGAGGTGTTCGTGAGTGTAGGCGGCTGCAAGCATGAGTAGCAGGGTTGAAGCCGCCGGCAAGGCCTGGTCCTGATGGCCGCCGACGAGCTCGCAAGCTGCCACACAGAGCGCCGGCACTGTGGTTCGTGGGGCGGTGAAGACCAAATGGTGCATGGGCTCAAAGACCACGAGGGGTTCCTTCATGGGAAGAACCTGCTTGATATGGGCTTCAATGTCTGCCTGCAGAGAAGCAGCCCAGGAGGAAGGAGGAGGAGGAGAAGAAGAAGAAGAAGAAGAAGAAGAAGAGGGGGCACGCGTGATTTGCGCCGCCGTGGAGAGTTTCGACAGCAAGGGACGATAACGGCGGAGATCTGATCTGCGTGAGAAAAGTACGGTGGAGTTTCCAAGGGGGTGGAAAAGTGCTCCGACCATGGAGGTACCTCAGTACAGATGCTGAAAGAAAAGGGCCGATGAATATGAGGATAGTGAATGAGGATGAGAAATATTTGGGACCTCGAGTGCAGATAGAAGAGTATTTGTTGCTCCGACGTTATTTATGCTTGTCTTGTTGGCCTATTGAGTATAAATTTATTTTATTTTGGCCAAGGGGTATAAATTATTTTTAAACCTGCATTGTGGCAATGTGTTACACGAGTCTATTATTTTAAATATGTTTACTGTGAAATACGTGAACTCTTCTGAGCCTAACAACCAAGTTTCGGATCTTTTTCTCCGTCCATATATATATATATATATATTAAAGTATTGAAAAATTAAATCCATCATTAAATCAATCAAATTAATAAATTATGGGTTAGCAATTCAACTGAGTTGAATTGGAGGGTGAACTCAGAAGATAAATCGATCATGATTAAAATTATACAATTTAAATAAAAAGATATTAATAATAAAAATATTCAATTAAATACAAAATTAATGTCTAATGCAAGATACAAATACAATAATAATTATAGGATTATAACCATCCAAAAATCTAGTAATAATAAAATATAAATTTTTAAAGATTCATTCTTACAATTACAATTTACAACCCTTTAATTGTTAAAAAGTCAAAAATTAATCATCACTAATACTAAAATCATCAACAATGACAGTCATAATTCATAAATGCTAAGCAACAATCAGACAAATAAACAGTAATAAATAATGAAAGATTAAAATAATTAAGGCACAATTAACTTAAAAGAATACTGAATCTTTTAAATTTGAACTTACAATTAAGGCCCTTTATTCGAAATTTAAACTACAGATAGTGAAATTTAATTTAATTACCTTGCCCTCCATTGTCTTGCTTTCTTAATTTTCAAGCTGAAATTTTTACTTTTTATAATTTTAAAAAATAAAAATATAAAAATTAAAAAAATCACCTAGATAATCTAGCAACCTTGCTACCGAGTTAGTCGGATTATCTCAAATTAATCCTAGGTCAGTCGAGTTATATCAAGTCAATAGATGGCTGATTTAAGTAAAAATTCAAATTAAAAAAGAGATCAGTGATCAATTCACAGGTTGAACTGATCAATTCAGTGTAAATTTTTATACAATGATATATACATATATATTTTGTGCAAGTCCATATAGTTATCTTAAATTTCACGGAACAAGTCACAAATTTCGACATCAGTCGGTATATATTTATATTATAGTTATATAAATATGTATGTGTTAAAAGAACAAGGCATCTTCCTTACATCTGGGGCCCAATCTTGTCAGTATTTATTAAAGGACATAAAATCTCCACCCCAATGTCAATAAATTTTGTGGCCCACATTCGGTACAGTGTGACATCACATCGAATTATTAAGGTGGGTTAAATGACCATGCCCTCAATGCCTTACACTTTTTCTGGTAAGAAAATGTCTTAATTTGTTTGAAGGATAAATCAACATGACGTGTAGATCAGTGATGTGGACATTCTCCGGGCCAATAAAACAGGGAAATATAATAATTACAACCTTCTCAATATATTAATAATAATAATTGCAGTTTTTAAAATTATTGAAATGTAATAAAAGAAACAAGTTTTTTTAATTATAAGCATGAGAATTAAACTCCACTTATAGTGAATATTATCTCCCACGGAATATTGAGAACTATGATAATTAGGAACCTTTTTAAGATATTAATAATAATTTAAGTTCTTGACATTATTGAAATGTTATAAAAGAAATATTTTTTTTTAATTATAAGCACAAGAATTAGGCTATGCTTACTGTAGAGATTATCTCTCACAAAATATTGAGGGTAAAGAATAGATCTCACCCAACTAAAAGGACCATGTTTTTCATTTATTTACAATTAAAGACCTCTAATTATTGAATGATAGCTCATGGATTCACTCGTATATTTAAGAAAATGTCACTTTTTAATCTAAATCCTTGCCTATTGTAGTAACCTAATTTAAGAAGTTACTTAATTCTAGTAATCATGATAGTATTGTATGGGGTGTTTTGGTCAAGACGAACATTATAATTTGGTATTAGTTTTAAATGTTTTTACTATATTTGTTGAATTTGTATTTAGAAGTTAGTAAAATATATATTTGTTACACTTTATCTTCCTTTTGCATAGTTGCTTAACATGTACACTTACCTTCTTTGTAATTTCTTCCATCCTTAGGAAGGAACAATATGGCAAGAAGGCAATCTGCTAGAACTACTATGGGTGGCAATCCATCCAACATGAATGTTATACTCAAGAATATCGAGATGCCACCAGAGAACCACATTCTTGTCAAACAAAACTTAAAGTAGCTTAGGAATGAGCCTTAGGGTAGCAAGGATTTGTCGATTGAAATGAGGGAATTGATGAAATAAATCTACGAGACAGTAAGGGAGAAGGGTGTATCGAGAAATGAAAAACAAAGAGGCGATAGCAGGATCATTAATAATGAAGAAGAGATGTTTGAGGAAAATAAAGCCTATGAAAAAAGCACACCTAAGCAATTTGGGGCTTTGAGTAGTAGTAACTCTTAGACTTCTATTGATTGGGCATGTAAGAGTTTCTCCTAATTTAATCCACCCACGTTTGATGGGAACATGAAGGAAGGTGAAGCAAAAGAATGGATTGACCACATTGTGTAATATCCTAAATTCTTAATTTGAAAACTTATTGCTAATTAAGGGTAAATTAGTAAATTAATAGATTAGTTGAATAATTAGGATTTTGTATAGTGAATTGACTTTTTGAGTTCATAACCAATGACATGATTAGGATCGAGTGGAAGAATAGTGATTCGAAGTGGAGCATGTGAGTATAATGAGAATTTCCTCATTGTACCATGCGTTGCGGCTTATGTAGGATGCATAGTGGTGCATGACACAAAAATCTGATAAATAGGATGGCTTAACTCATGAAAGGGAGAGGGGAATGGAAAAAGAAATGAAGGAGAAGGAAAAGAGAAGTGGCTATGCTAGGGTAAAGTAGTTTGGCCACCTAAGAGATAATTCCAACTTATTACTTATTGGGTAAGTTTCGTATCGCCTTACTCTCCTATGCTACCCTAATTCTTTTGATTTGGGGAATAGAGAAATTTAATTGGGAAGTTTTGAGGAGTTGTATTCTAACTTAATAGTTATAAAAGGGTTATAGGGAGTTAAATTAAGGTTTTGTAACTAGTCTGATAGTTAATGATAAAACTTAGAAGTGTTATATATGTCAACACACCCAAGAGGGGGGTGAATTTGGTGTTTAAAGAATTTTTGATTCTTTTAAAACTTTTCAGCAAAATTGTGTTCAAGGAAAGTTTAGGGAAATTTAAGTTCTAAAATTTGTGTATAGGAATGTTAAAGTAATCTTCCCAAGCAATATATGTGTAAAAATAATTTCTATATGGATGTAGATATATTAAATTTAATTTTGTATATTAAAACATAGCATAAACTAAGGTTGTTGGGGATATAAAAAGATAAGGGAAGATAGATTGCAAACAATAATTTATTCTAGTTCAGCTCTACCACTTGAGCCTACATCTAATCTCTAAGAAAATACTTGATATTTCTTCACTATAACATAAGCTTAAGTGGGTACTTGCTACCACAATATAGCCACAAGTTTGGTTAGGTACTTGTGAGCCTTTATAGCAACTCACTTTATTAGTGAACTTCTTTTCCTAAGAGAATAACCTCTCTTGATCCTAAGGAAAATCTCTCCCTTACCTTTACAATAGTTTAGAATATGTAAACTTAGTGAAACTCTCTCTAAGAATAATAATGAGTACAATAAAGCTTTAATACTCAAATGATGAAGATATAGATGATATTGGCTTAAGAAAAATGATTTTCATATAGTAAGAGTAATATGATCGTGAATTTCATAGCTTGATGATTTCTGAGGTTAATCCTATATTAAGATGAGTTTACAGTGTTAAATTTATAACCCATGAAGTGAAATAAGTGTTAGAGGTATCATATGATCACTTATAATTGTTACATAGTAATTATAGCTGTTGGTGACAAATCATGTGAGGTACCAAGGCTTATCCACGTGTGTCTTGTATTTTTCATAAGCGAAAGTGACATATCTCACTTGGAACATGACAAATCACATAAGGAACGTTATGTGGTAGTGCCCAGATGACAAATCACGCAAGGGAATGTAGTATTTCATGCATGTTTAGGATCACAAAAGCTATAGAATGAGAAACAAGGCTTTAGAGGACATTTCGAGCGTGTGTACAAGGTGTTTCAAACGTGTTTGAACCATAGGAGTTGTTCAATGAAAAACAAGGCTTCTGGGTGACATATCACATGTGCTTTGGAAGTGAATCACACGTGATTTGGACATTGAGGATATTTATAGATGAATCACATGTGTGACCATGGTGTAACCACACGTGTTTTGGAAGGGTCATTACACATAACTACATAATATTCTAACTCACTTACTACAACTCTAAATTTAACAAATTATATATCTTTGGAAAGATCTCAAATTTAGTTTTCAATGAAAGAAGTTTCACACTTAAATTCAATGCAACTTTTGAGATATGATCAAAAGAGGAAATGAAGGTCAAGACTAAATGCTGTGCAGGATCAAAATCCCAAAACTTAAATTCTAAAGTTCATATCTTTCTCAATAAAACTCCATTTTAAGCAAATAAAATATTATTAAAAATATGTTAGAGTCTATTTTCAAATGAGATATTTCTCATCAAAATGATTAATGTAGTGAGAGATATGATATGAAACATGATCAAAGGTTAAAACTAATTTTTTACATAATTGCCATTTTAAAGCTTAGACTTCAAGTGTTCATGACTCTTTCAACTTAACTCCATTTGAGTAAATAAAATAACTTTAAAAATTTTAAGGAGTTAGTAATCAAAACATTTAAAAGCTTGAGAGATGTATATGATTAAAGATGAAGAACATAATTATAAAAAAAATATATCTTACTCTTTCTCTTAAGAGCTAAAATGTATGTTTTGATTTAAGATATTTTGAGCCACTATTTCAAATTTAAATCAATGAGTTTAACATAAAGACTTGTATTCTAATGATATTATACTTATCAAGTCCAAGGCTTT